CATCACAGAGAGTTCCTGGAAAGCAGCAGTGAAGACAGACTAATAGTAAAAGTTGGGAGCATTTTACTTATCAATTAAGAAAATGGTTCTTTATTTCTTATAGAAATTGTCATCTTTGCCACCTTAAACAGTTACATGTTCAACCCATTTATTCCAATGAATACTTTGTCTTTTAAAAATTATTATTATTATTATATTATTATTAATTATTTTGAAACAGAGTCTCACTATGTAGCTCTGGCTGGCCTGGAACTCATATGAAGACTAGGCCGGCTTTGACCTCATAAAGATCCAGCTTGCCTCTATCTCCTTAGTGCTGTGATTAAAGGTATGTGCCACCATACTCAGCCCCATTTTTAACTATGTGTAGGTGTGTGTCTGCATGTGGGTATGTGTACATGAGGGTGGGTACCCATGGAGGCCAGAGGTATCTGACCTCCTGGGACTGGAATTACAGATGGTTGTGAGCCACCTGTGGGTTCCAGGAACCAAACATGGGTCCTCTGGGAGAATAGCAAGTACTCTTAACAGCCAAGCCGTGGTTCCAGCCTGGAATACTTCATTTTTAAACTGTCTCATCCTGTCAAAACTGATGTGCAAACAATAGTGCAGGGTGACTTGCCATCAGGTAAGAATGTTTTAGTAACCTAGAATCAAAGTTATCAATAAAATTTGGCTACTTCAGCTCCAAGCAGAAGTATCTCCACAGAAGCATAATATACTTGTGTCTTTAATATAAATTATATTTTTTTCTTTACATACCTTATTAAACTCTTGTTCTTTGAGACAAAGCCTCATTCTGTATTCCGGGTTGGCCTTGAACTTCCTATGTAACCCAGCTGGCCTGCTCAAGTTCCCCTGGTGCTAGGATTATAGGCATGAGTCATTCTGCCTTGTGAAAAAATTTCCTTTTACCAAACTCTTGTGCTCAGATTGAAAGCTAATTCAGCACGTTCAGGTTTACTGTGACTCCTACTCAAATGGAGACAGATTTAATATTCAGTTATAGCAACTGGTGTGTGTGTGTGTGTGTGTGTGTGTGTGTGTGTGTGTGTGTGTGTGTGTGTTTGAAATTTCTTCCTTGGCCTCAATATAAGATCCCCCCCCCCATGTTTTAATGATTTCTTTACCCCCGTTTTTTTTTGTTGTTGTTGTTGTTGTTTTTTCTGAGACAGGGTTTCTCTGTGTAGCTTTGCCCCTTTCCTGGGACTCACTTGGTAGCCCAGGCTGGCCTCGAACTCACAGAGATCGGCCTGGCTCTGCCTCCCGAGTGCTGAGATTAAAGGCATGCGCCACCACCACCACCCCACCCCCCCCCACCCCCCCACCCCCCCGGCTTTACCCTCATTTTTAACCAGTACCTACATTTCTTTATTAAGCTACTTCAAACGTTTCAAAAGCACAGGAAAGCCTGTATGGTGGTACATATCTGTAATCACAACACTTGGAAGACAGCAAGAGGAGGTAAGACCTCGTCTGAAGAGAGGGAGAGAAATGAGAGCAAAACTTGAAAATAATTTTAATTACATTATTTATTTTTGAGTTAGTGTGTGCTCATGTATGCATGCACTTGCCATGGCATACATGTGGAAATCAGACAGAACTCTTCAGAGTCATTCCTCTCCCTCCACTGTGGGGGGCCCAGACTCAAATTAGCTTGTTAGGCTTGACAGCAAGCATCTTTATCTGCTCTCTGGCCAAGAGCAAAATTTAAAAGCTCTCACCTCACTCTCTTCTGTGCCATGTCCACTTTGATGACTTCAGAAGATCATTCAGGCTTTTAAATTTTCTCAAATACCCACTATACTGAGGATTCAAAACTAAAGATCCAGTCCCCCTACTTCTTCAGGAGCTACAAGATTAGGGGCCAGCTAACTGAGTGACAACTAGACCAGTGACAGCCAGTTATCCCCACAAAGAAAAGAGGAGAACGTTTTCCCTCCAGGGCCTGGGATTGCTGGTAGAGTTGCTGAGGAACATGGAGGATGGTGCTGAGGACCAGAAATGGTGATGACTGAAAGACAGAAATCTAAGAGATGGGGACTGGCAGAGGGTAGAGATACATTTCAAACATGGATTAGTGGCGGGCTGCTGCTACACCAGATGTCCACAAATGTTCTGGTCAGAGAAGTACAAGCAGACACCCTAACAGATCTCGAGGTGTGTAAGTACACAAAGTGTCTTAGAGGATGAGCCCAAGATGTTGGGGGAGGCTGGCTCCTCATAGGCAGCTTTGTGGTGGGGATCCCTCTCCAGGTCTCAGAAGCTGCTGACATTCCTTGGTTCACAGCCCTGCATCACATCACCTTTTCTTGCTTTCTGATATGTCCCTGTGTCCCTCTCATAGGAGGGTCACTGGGACTCCACTGGATCCATCGGATCACCCAGGATTGCTGTGGGATGTTCTGTATGTCCTGTGGGAGCCCTTCTTGGGTTCTTTGTGGCATTACCCAGCAGGTCCGCATAGAGGATGATTAGGACCATGGGCCTGAGTGCAGGTGTCTGAGATGGTCTGCACTTGGCTGTGCTGGGGGATGGTCTGTATGTCAAGTTGTTCTGATTGATCAATAAATAAAACCTGATCGGCTGTGGCTAGGCAGGAAGGATAGGCGGGACTAACAGAGAGGAGAAATAAAAGGACAGGAAGGCAGAAGGACTGACTGCAGCCGCCGCCATGACCAGCAGCATGTGAAGATGCCAGTAAGCCACCAGCCACGTGGCAAGGTATAGATTTATGGAAATGGACTAATTTAAGCTATAAGCACAGTTAGCAAGAAGCCTGCCACGGCCATACAGTTTGTAAGCAATATAAGTTCTCTGTGTTTACTTGGTTGGGTCTGAGCGGCTGTGGGACTGGTGGGTGACAGAGATTTGTCCTGACTGTGGGCAAGGCAGGAAAACTCTAGCAACACAGGATAGTCTCTCATCTGATGATTCTCACTTTGACCACATCTACAAAGCCTCTTTTGCCATATAAAGTAACTCAGGTTCCAGGGATTAGGACTTGGACATGGATGGTGACATTCCTTGGCCTTAACACAGAAGTCACTTAAAAAACCATGAAAGAAGATGGAATTACTCTGGAGTCAGAATGCTGTCTGAAGTTAAGAGAAGAGAACATGTCTTGGACAGAGAGGAAAGTTAGTCAAGACAAGGACGAAAACTTGTCACTACTTTGCCAATTAAGCTGTTGCAAACACAGTATCCAATGAGCTGGTGGGACAGAATCTAGACTGGTTAAGGAATAAGTGGAAAATAAACCAATGCGGATGGTAACTATGGGGTTGGCAAGATGGTTACGTAAGGCCACTTGCCACGAAGCCTGATGACCTGAGTTAGATCCTGGAACCCACATGGCAGCAAAGAACGGATTCCCACAAGTCATCCGATGATCTCCACACACACATACACACAAATAAATAAACGTATGAAAATGAAACAGCTTTGAAAAGACTATAGACAAGTCTCATGTGTTGTACTTCTTCCTGGGACAGGCCTTACTGCGGAACTGCCTGGCCTCAGACTTGAGATCCTCTTCCCTCCTTCTGTTAGGATTGTACTGATGTCCACCACCACAGTGGACATGTGAAGTTTGCTAATAAAATTTCACAATCCACCATGGTTTAAATCATACTGAAAAAAAATCTGAAGAAACATTTTTAAAATGTGCGACTCCATCAAAGGAAATAATTAATGGAGGGAGATAAAGGCTACAGAAAGGGAAAATTCTTTGCTAGCCATACTTATGGAAGACAATATCTAGAATATACAAAGATCAAATTTAGGATACAAAAAGCTAAATAGGAACTCATAACCCAGTCAATAAATGGGCCAAAGAAATGAAATCTCCTCAAAAGATGAGGTACAAATGGCCCATGAACGTTTTAAAAAGTGTGCAATCTATCAAAGAAATGCAAATGAAAACTACATTGAGAAGACTATACTTTCAGGGATCATTTCCATAGTTCCTTGCCAGGGAAGTTTCTCTGACTGTATAGAGGACCCAAGTGCAACAAGGAGGTTGTGATGGCTCTTCTAGGTTGTCACTTTAACATCTGGAAGACACTATAAGGCAGAAATGGAGGGCACACCTGTGAGAGATTCTTTTTGCTTGGGTGAATCCATTTCTAGTCTGGACCTTTTAAGTAGGAAGGCATACACCTTTGATCTGAATCCTGAGGTGGGAAGACACACACCTTTGATCTGGGCCACTCCTTCTGCTGGAAACCTATAGAAAGACATGGAAGAAGGAAGCTTTTGCTCTTTGCCCATTTTCCCTCATCTTGCTAACACATCCATTCCTTCACTGGCATTGGAGCCTTCTTTGGAATTCCAGCATGTACTGAAGACCAGCTGAGACATTAGGCTTGTGGACTGAGCAACCACTGGATTCTTGACTTTTCATTCACAGCTAGCCAATGTTGGATTAGCTGAACTGCAGCCTGTAAGTCATTCCAATAAATCCCCTTTAATAATATATTACATATTAATATATTGATATCTTAATAATTGTATATATGGAGGGAGTAGTCTCAGGTTGTGGAAACCCTCCCTATTTGCTTAGGCACATGCTAGGCCTTGTAATCCTTCATGCCCTTAATAAACCTGAATCTGGGGGGGGGGGATAAACTACATTGAGATATCATCTTACCCCAGTCTGAATAAAATCAGGATTCACACCTTTAGTTCTAGCACTCAGATGTTTCCCCTCATTTATAGGTTCTAGATTTTATATCAATACATAAAACCGTGTGTGTGTGTGTGTGTCTGTGTGTGTGTGTAAAACATCTGTCTAAGGAAATACAGGAACTAAAGGGAGAGGGAAGGGAAATATGGGAAGGTGACAGGGTACAGGGAGGTAATATACTCAATGTACCTTATATACTTGCATTAAAATATCCTTATGAAACTCAGTATCATATAAAATGAACATAGATCAATTAAAATACAGTTTAAAAGCCATATATATTCTAAAATATGCAATCCACTTAAGAGTCATGGACATTTTCATTATGTAGTTTTTATTTTAGATGAACATTATTGTAAAAAAAAAAGTTCACCTGGAATAAAATCCATTTTTTTTTTTTAAAAAAACACAGCATCAGTATCAGTACAGTTAATGAACTGGCTTCAACAGACCAACCACATGACAGGTCCATATTATCCACAGGAGCTTGCCACAGTAAGCCACTGGAGCAAAATAAAATATGTGTAAGCACACAAGTAGAAGTCTATGAAAACACTCCCTAGTTCCCATAGGGGCATGATTTGAATCAGACAGTTCATGGCATTTTGCATTAAGGGAGCAGCAGCAGCAGCTGCACACAGTCAAGACAAACCCATCTGTAAGGCCATTGGAATGAACAATCATAAGTTCACTTTTAAAAAAAGGTACAAAGATGAAATATGAAGTTTTGTTAGTTCCTGGCATATGGCACACATTTCAAGATACAAAGTTAAAATCTGGAAAATCCTTAAAACAAATGCTTGCTGGTTTTCATATCTGTACTCAGTTGTTTAGTTTCTTTTTAATAAACATGACATTCATAAATTTTATGAATCTATCCTGACCTCCTTCTGATTCAAGGGACTTCAGACAGCCCTCTCTGCCACTGGGTGTGATGAGAAAGAAAAAGGAAGGTCTTTTTGTTTTACTTTATTTTTTAAGTCAAAAAAATTGAACTGAAGAAATTTTGAGATCAGTAAACCAACACAATGAAATGTGGTTTTAAAATTCTAGGCTTAGAATCTCATCTTTAAAGATTAAGATATATTTATAAAAGCATCTAAGTCATATGCCTGAAAAGAAAGTCTGCTTAGTTTGTTATTTTACTGCTCACAGGAAGACACTTCATAAACCCTAATAGAGATTCTCAGCATTTGGAGCCTGTAAAATGCAGTAGTAATTTCTTACTCATAAACCTCGGAACAATCCATGTATATTGCACAACTAAGTTCATTAATGGGCAGGGCAGTAACATTTTTTTTTTTTTTGTATGTTACTGGATAGTGACATGCATGCTTTATTTGAAACTAAGGTATCACATTTCTCCTTTCCAAGGATGCCTTCAGTTCAAAACAAGACAAAACAAAAACATGCTGTCTAAATTTTGTTGAATGCTTAGAGGCTGGCTCACTGTTTTTCTACCAGGTATTAGAATATTATTAGTTAGCTAAATGAGGTATAATTAAAAAAAAAATAGTCCTTCAGAGTAAAGAGTTAGTTCTCAGGAAATTTATAACAAAGACTGCATAAGCTGTCCACATGAACAATAATTCAGGAAATTTATAACAAAGACTGCATAAGATGTCCACATGAACATAAGAAGCCCTGCGGCACCTACTGACCGATGCGCTGGGAGATCGCTTCATTAGCATCTGAAGAAAAAGGCTAGAACAGGTTCCCAGTGAAACATTTGACAATCAACTGATTCACATGCTACTTAGTTACAGCACACTCCACTGTCTGGTACCCTCAGACTCTATTTGAAAATTCTGAGCTCAACTGTTGTCAAAAAATTAGTTCAATAATAATAAAGTGCAGCCACTGAATCACTAATACTGCTGCAAAAATCTCTATGTACCCTATCTGTAAGACCACAACAATGTTCACACACACACATTAAAAAAAATCTAGATTTCTTCAGTTTCAGCAGGGAACAGACAATTATCTGTCACTAAAGTCATCTACAAATAGAAAAAAATAATGCATCATATGTACACTATTAAGCAAAGTAGACTATTTGTTGGGTTTTTACCATGCAGAAAGTGAATTTCCTATGGTCTGAGCTCAAATTATATACAATTTAGCAAAGCTAAATGTAAGAAAATAGCAAGAACAATTTATTTCTATATAACAGAGAATATACTCCCAGTTTGCTGCTACTTCAAAGAGCACTTTTAGACTCACCTAACATTTACAGGCTCATTCAAAGAGAAGTTCATGGAGACTAGTTATTAACCACAAAAGACACAAGAAGAGTGAAGAAATCAAAAGCATTAAGAAAAAAAAGCTGACCACAGAACATGTCAGTTTTGGTTTGCAGACAGCCCCTGAGATAGAAACCAAAGTGTTAAGACACCGAACAGTCAGAGGTAAATACTAAGAGAATTACATTCGTATATGGTGTCACAGCTCCTGCTTTTTGGAAAGTACTTTGTTACCATTGTAACTGCTTGAACTTTTTTTCCCCTAGAAAAGTAGTGATAAGATATTTCTAAGAAAATACCGTTTCTTTTCAAAAATGTATTTAATTTGAAGATGTCAGACTTACAATCAATTCTCACTGAAAGAACTACTTACACCTGGACAGTAATGTGTGACTTTAAGTCGACAGGTAAGGGGGGAAAAAGAAGAAAAGGCTTTAGTTTGTCAACAGTAAAGTCAGAGAATCCACCAAAAATAACTCTGGTACACTTGCAGCCACTGGAATGCTTGAGTTTTCCAACAGACAGGGAGGCCTGACCGGTCCAAGCACTGAGGCAGAACTCTCTGCGTAACCAGCTATCCGTGTCCATTTCCACTTCCGGTTCTCTGCGGACAGCACAAGACCGGGGAGTGATCGCTACCAGTTCATTTCCCCGTCACCTGTTTTGGTGCCCTCGGTGTTAGGACACTGAAGACTAGAACAACAGCAGTGACATTATGATCTGGATTTGGCACATAAGTTAACACTGAATACCTCCTACCCCCTCTAGTGTGGTGGTTTATCCACAAAAGAAACATCAGAACCAGCATTTGGTGAGAAAGGCAGCAAAGCTTTGGGCCGCCTCTGGCCTGGACAGCCACCCCACTTCTCCAAGTACAAACCTAAACGAAAAGGGCTGGGTCCGACACATTCAGCAACGGCTGAAAAGCCCAAACCTGGATCCTATGTGCTCTAATGAAAAGACAAGATTTCTGGAGGATGTGCTAGGTCTAATTGCTTTTTTATATTTTTTAAACCCCAAATAGAACCAAAAGTCACTATTTTCAACATTACTAACAGCTATCTTACACCAACATGTTTAATTTCTCTCCATATAGGTATGTTTTCTACAAACTGAAATCTAAATCTAACCTTTGTTAACTTTCTCACTGGCAGGGATTATGGTTAAGAAGTGGGTAATACAAACTAATGGGTAAAATTGAGAAAGAATATATTACATATTCTGGTGTGACAAGACCATAGACGGATGTGAAAATAAAGCCCTAATGACCATTTCTCTCCCTCTGTGAAATCTCAGCTCATGAAGTTCACTGGCAGACACAGCAGTGCTTGCAGATATTAGTGGTTTAGATAAGGAAATAATGACAAGAAGTCAGGCAGGGGGAGGGGCAGCAAATACGACCCTCAGAAGCAGAGGAGTGCTTTCTTCTTGCTGTTTCCAGGGAGGAGGCAGTGGCAGCCAACCTAAAAAGGGATACAGCTACTCAGGGATGAGCCAAGCTGATAACCACCTGAAAAGATGAAGATGATGTGGTCTCTTTTACAAGTTTATCAGTAGAACACTGCAAGTCAAAGCCCTCTGATAAATGCATATGACCATATGACCCAGGCCAACCATCCTTGAATTTTAGTACATCAACCTCTGTTTAATGTTCTGCTGTCTTTAAACATCCCCAGATATGTAAGTCTAGAACTTCCTGCCACTAAAGTGCTCAGTTAGGAGTCTGAGATTATGCTGGACCAGAGAAAGGCTGACACTCGTGTGGAAAGAAAGAAAGCAGCTTCCGGGACAGGCAGTAAAACAAGGAAGAACCAGTTAGGTCCCGCATGTGTCTCCACGGCATGCTTCCATGTCTGAAGAAAGGAGCCTGCTCTTTTGCTAGGCCACGAGGCTGGGATCCACTTGGCGTTCTGTGTTGAGAGGTCTAGAGTTCCGTGGTGCTCTCCGCAGCAGCCGGGTGAGGTGACTCTGAGGCTGGGTAACCTGTGCTTTCAGAGAGGCAGGGAAGGGCCCTCTAGGTATGCTGCAGTCTCTCAGAAGTGAAGAGTTCATCAAAGCAACGAACAGCGGAAGAAACTGGTCTTCTTGGACCGGTTTTCGGTTATTTTCACTGGCCCGCCTGCTCCTGATGAATTGCTGTCATTCTGAAAAACAGGATATGAAATTGATTGCTAAGGAAACCAAGATTTCATGGCTTGACCCCAATTACCTACAGAGTAAAAGCACACCATGTGGGGAATACGCTCTGGTACACTCTCTCACCTGTGCTCACTGCCAAGTTCTATCAGAAGGAATTAGTTAGGTCTCAGCACTGTCTTCTTTGCCAGTGGTGGATTAAAGAGACAAAGTAGTCTTAGGCTGGCTTGACTAGCATTTTGTTTTAACCAGGTGTTAGGTAGGACACACCTATATCTAGTTTAAGGCAATATCAGCCAAGGCCTGTAGTGTCAAGGATAATGATGGGAACAGGGCTAAGGCAGTAGACAATCAAGTTAGAGGTAAGAAGAGTTGGTAACAGAAGGCAGATAGTTTCATGAGGATCCACATTAAACATTCGGGTGTCCTAAAGATTCATCACTGATGGTTCAAATGGAAGCCAACTTGAGCAACTCCAAGATCATCATTAGATAGATATAAATACATATTATATGAAAATTGAACTAGATAATTTTATGAAAAAAGCAATTTCTGCCATTATTATTTTCACTATTCTGATACAAAGTCAATTAACTACCACTTAAGAGCCAGAGGAAAGAGCTGAGACAGCTGTGATGCAGAAACAACCCTGAAGCAATAGAAATTATAAGCCTGGTGCAATCATCTGAAAGCATCAGGAACAAATAAGTTTAATGTGAGCACATTATAATGCTGTCCAGCCTGTTGAGTGCCAAACTAAAAGGTATCATAAAAATAAAAACTATAAGTGATACAAACCATTTTTCTGTTGAGTTTTGTCATTATATCCCGTGCAAGTGTAAAAAATGCCTAAAGATAAAATAAACAAAGTTATTGTTAAATGTTATATTTCAAAACAGAAATACAGAATTTTTATTATTTATTTGTGAATATAACACTTCAGAGTTTCTAACTGAAAAGAGTAGTATAATTAAAATCCTAGCATGTACATGTTAATGGCTTTTTCAGTTACATCATATTGTCCAATGTTGTCACATTGTCATTCATTCATCAAATATTTTATGTATGTAATATCTGCCACAAGTTCCTAACATGGCATACACAGTTCCTCAATACACTAAAAACTGGAGAGTTAGGCTTTGTTTAAACCACCCTATTCCCGAAAGGAAAGGTTTCAACCTCTGGCCCAGATGATGCTTGTCTTAGGGTTACTATTGCTGTGATGAAACACCATGACCAAAGCAACTCGGGGAGGAGAGGGTTATTCAGATCATTAAGCTTCCACATCACAGTTCATCATCAAAGGAAGTCAGGACAGGAATTTAAGCACAGCAGGAACCTGGAGGCAGGAGCTGATACATAGGCCATGGAAGGTGCTGCTTACTGGCTTGCTCCTCATGGCTTGCTCAGCCTGCTTTCTTATAGAACCCAGAACCACCAACCCAGGGATGGCACCACCCACAATAGGCTCAGCCCTCCTCCACCAATCACTAAGAATTAAGAAAATGCCCTACAGGTTTGCCTACATCTTCTGGAGACATTTTCTTAACTGAGGTCCCTTCCTCTCAGATGACTTTAACTTGACATAAAACTATCCAGTATACACTAATATCTGTGCAAGAAGTGATTTACGTACAATTATGGATTAAACTATAGTTCTAAAAGTCCATCTTCACAAAAATCAATACTTTTCTTTCTGACCTCTTTCTTCTGAGGGCATACCTAAGTACACAAAATCTTCCATGCCTTAAAACTTCAAAACTACCAGTTCCTGGAACTCAGTTAAACCACACACACACACACACACACACACACACACACACACACACACACACACACACGAAATAAATTTAAAAGGAAGCTGAGATAACCCACTTTGCTCACTGGCTCTTTAAAAAAAAAAGCCAGGAGGTGGTGGCACACACCTTTAATCCCAGCACTTGGGAGGCAGAGCCTGGCAGATCCCTGTGAGTTCGAGGTCAGCCTGGTCTACAAAGTGAGATCCAGGACAGGCACCAAAACTACACAGAAAAACCTTGTCTCAAAAAACAACAACAAAAAAACAAAACAAAACAAAATACAAACAACAACAACAAATCTGTCATCACTTTTACTCTGTTTCCACAGAGGTATGAAATCCATTCTGTGGCCAAGATTAAGGGGTGCCCCTCAGGAGCTGGCATATGAGCCACTACCCCACCCACCTCACTCCCTGTTGGTAGAAGGAATCTCTCATGGAAGAAGAGAGCTTGCTTTCCTTTTTTTGTTTCCTTTTTATCTATGCTTATGAAAATAAATCAGTGGCAATTTCCTGTTTTTCAACACTGAAAAATGAGTGCTGATTATTTTGAAGAAAGAAGTTCTGACAAGTATTCATTGACTACTAAGGCCATGTAAGTCTTGATATTTTAGCCACTGTGTAAGGAAGGAGTGAAGAAGCCAAGCTACTGAAGCTTAGTTGGAACTGTCAGGATCATTAAGCACAGGTACTAACTCTATTCACAGCAGGTAAAGAAACAGACTGAAATCTTTTTAGATTATGGATTAGCCTATAGAAAAACGTCTGCCGTAAATCAGTGAAGGAGAAGATGAATAGGATTCTCACTTACACAACTTAAGTAAAACATAGCTCTCTGAAGGGATAAAGATAGGGTTCTTCTGTATCCCAGAATCTAATCAATATTTATATGTATAATTCAGCTATTATTTGGCTTAAAAGGGCTTATTGGGAAATGTTATCATTTTTACTATTTTCTAAAGAGAAAATGTTTTCTAGTTTCAAATAACGCTGAACTTTTGAATTATAACCTGTTTTTATGTTTTTAAAAAAAAAGAGTTGCTCTGGTCATAGTGTCTCTTCACAACAATAAAACCCTAAGAACCACCCCCCCAAAAAAAAATTTAATAAAATGAAATAAAATGTTTTGTTAACTTAAGATTTTTCATGACAGTGAGATACATCTGCTCCTGGCAGTACCAATTTACATCAGAGAAGATGATGAGCAAAGAAGAAACTCCTTATGGAGCTTGCTTTCATTGTGGCAAGATTAGCCACTGGGCAAAGAAACGTTTCTTGCCTTTGACTGCTGACAATGTGCTGTGCAGACTGGACATTCAGGATACACTGGAAAAAGACTGTTAAACTTTGCCAAAACAAGAAAAGACAGTCCTTCAAATCTCCTGCTTCACTGAAATGTTTGCTAGATATTCTGGACCTGTAGGCTGAAGATGGATGCCCCAATGTGGCAGAAGAACTTTGGGTGACTATCCAGGCAGCCTAATGTCTCTGTTGTTAGATAGTAATGCATCCTTCTGGGTCTTTGATGGAGTTGAAGACTAGATAGTTATAACTGCAGTTTTCCTTAGTTATGATAGAAAGTAAATTATTTGTAAAGCTTTGGAGTCACTAAGATAGATGGATGGTGGAATGCTTTCTCAATTTGCTAAATGTAAATGGACTGAATATTGTAAATTAATTCTTAATTGATAACTGTTTTGTTGTGTATAGTTTTACTATGTTAAAGTTAAAACCTTTCTTTTTATTTAGACAAAAAGGGGAAAAATGTTGTAGAATATTATTTTAAGGTGTTTAGGTTGCATTTGTTTAACTCTGTGAAGCTGTTTTACTGTGCCTGTCTAAAACACCTGACAGTCTAATAAAGAACTGAACGGCCAAAAAAAAGAAACAGATCATCTAGAGTTTTCTAGAGCAGGTTTTCTTCACAAAGGGTACAAATACTGGTTATATGTGTTAATTTTTTTAAATTGATCATAAAATTATCATTTCCATCTGCTCTTTGAAGACCTTAGATGACCTTTTTAAAAAAAATTTTATTACATTTTATTTGCTTATTGTGTTTGTGTGTAGGGGTATGGCAGTCGGAGGATATGGATCCCAGAGCTCAAACTCGGGTTCCCTGGCAAGCTCCTTCACCCTTACCAGCCCCCAGATAATCTTGTTGTAACAGCTAACTTAATGGAAATGTATTAAGACTAATCTATGAAAAACACTTTCTTCTATCTACTAAATGCCATAGCATTATGTGTCATGCTTAATCTACTTCAAATGCATACACAAGGGAGCCCGTTCAAGAGACAGCACTTTAACTCAAGTGACTCAGCTTGTCTGCTGCAGGCTAGCAGAGGTTGATGACAAATGAGCAGCGGACACTGAGTCTGTGATTGCTAACATCCCAAACAAACGGCTGCAATGAACTTAGAATGAACTTGTATCTCCCCTCTTCCGAGAATCTTAATTGAGCAATCTTAACATAACCATGTGGAGGCTGCATGCTAGAAATCCAGGGAGCAGAGTCTATGTAAAAGTCCAAGACGTAAAAGCTTTTACCAGGTTGAGCTGCTACCCAGTGAGTCACCGTACAGTTCTTACCTCTTCTACATTTGTACTGGATTTTGCACTCGTCTCCAAAAATTTAATCCCATAGTCAATTGCTAACTGAAAGACAAACAGGAAATCAAATTTAGTAAAAGTGGCTGAGACATACAAAGCCCTTAGCAGATTGTACATTTTTCAAAGCCCCCAAGAATCTATGCCAGAACTCCTATGGTTTTCTATTTTGTTTTGTTTTCTTGTACTGTGCTTTAAATTTTATAATTTAACTTAGTCTAAAAATGACACAGCTCCTACTTAAAATGTCATGTTAGAAATTTGTTCTGCTGTACTTGGGGGTCTCTAATAAACACACAAGAAAAACTACTAGATGGAGCCTCAGCTTAGCACCTGCCTGGGATTCATTTACTCCTTTATCTTGTCTCCAGGAGCACAATTCTCCAGGTGTAACTAGCCTGACTTTCCTTTCGGAATGAACTATTCTATTCCACAACAGAATGGCAAACTTGAACTCTTTTCACATTTCCATCTATTTTCAGGGTCCTAACCCATGTAACACTACTCAAATTAAGTGAAGGTTTCCAAGGGCAAGTTGGTACTCAGACTGAAAAACCAAGTGTGTTTGCACCTATCACTGGAGAAAGTCTCTAAGAACTGAGCAAATACCGTAAGTAAATGTGCACAAAAAGTAACCGTTTGCTCTACAGATGCAAGACAGACAGGCACCTGTAAATGTCACCTCCGTAGCTGGTCAGTTACAAGGAGCTTACTGCTCATGAGCTGAAGCTAACTTGTACCAAATGCTTAAGGAAAACAGTGAACTGGAAAGTGATTATGGTTGAAATTTCACTTACCCTAGTATATTTTTTCAGAAACTGAGTTATTGTAACTTCAAAGCTGAGGTTTTCACACAAATCTAAAAGAGCCTGAACAAGAGCTGATGGATCTTAAGAAAGGCCAGTCTGTATCTCCCAGCATTCTCTAGGGCTGAGTCATGACCGAATGGTATAAACGGGGTTGGATTTGAATACTAATTCCTACTATCCAAGTACAGACTACATCTCATTGTTGTTTGATAGCAAGTTCTTAAAGGACCAAAACAGACATCTTAACAATGTAAATCAATACCAAGAGAACGAAGGCTGGCTGGGAGCAGATCCCCCCTGTTCCTCTGGGCTGGGAGCAGATCCCCCCTGTTCCTCTGGGTCAAGCTTACCTTCTCCCCTCTTTCCTTAGACACCTGTCTTCTGTCATTCATATCACACTTGTTCCCCAGGATCATCCTCTCGACATCGGAAGAGGCGTGCTGCAGGGGAAAGAGTGCATTGTAAACACGGCCTGCGACAGACACAGAGCTTCGGTGGGAAAACCCCAACCTGTCAGAAACATGGCGGCTTGTTCAGCAACAAAAACATCTTCCATGCATCACAAGCCCAAGTCAGAGAACCGTTTAAAGGGAGAAGGGAGAATTACTTCAGCTTAGAGCCCTCACAGGGCCTATGCAAACATTTCCCCCAAAAGGCTCACAGACTCATTCTCATAACTCATATACAACAGCTAAACCTTCAACTATTCCAGTCTGAAACAGAAAAAAAATTAAGTACTGAGTGACTGGAGAAAGTAACCTGGGTTCTGAACTATTTAAAAACATCAACTATGTGGGTTCATTTTAATGTGCTAAATTATTTCCTAGTCAGTTTCTTTCTGAAATGCCACAGAGATTTCAAAGAAAACTTAGTACCAACTATCCTGGAACTAACCCAAATTTCAAATATCTACAGAGGAAAAAATGTTAGAAAGGCAAAAAAAAAGTTACAGAAATATACAAGAGCATCTTAGCTGTGGCTCTGTCTTCAAGTCTCTATGGACACTGGCAGGTCACTCCTTCCTCTCCTGTTTCCTTAGGTAGACAACGGGGACCCAGATTAGGTTGTGTCTAAGCTCTGACCTGAGTTTAAACAGGAAAATGCTCCTCTGTCTACTATCTATACACAGCTGTTGTCCTGGCACCACTGGGGATCTAGCTTTTTTCCAGTGGGCAGGGTGGGCCTGTCCTGCCCATTCTGCTGCTCAGCAGCAGCCACCTCCAGGAGAAAGCAATAGCCTACCACATGTTCCTAGTAGGCTTCTGTCCAGCATTGGCACTCTCCTTCCATACATACCTCTTCAATGTTTCTTATCCAATTTTTAATATTGTCAAAGGACTTTTCATTGGTAATGTCATAGACCAGCATAATTCCCTATGGGAGGAAACAAAAAGCTTTATGTTATACTTCACACTTAGAGCTCACAATGCAGGACATGCCTACCTGCCTCTCTCTTGTCTCTGTTGGTCTTGAAAGAGGGATTCATAATAAATTTGAAAAATACAGAGGCAGGCAAAAGCTAATGAATTATGCTACTGTCTCACAGTCTAAATGAACTGTTAACATTGTCACTGTTAACTTTAATGAATTAGAGATTGTGGGAAATGTGAGCTGCTCTTTCTACCTGACCTCAGGTGATAATGATCGGCACCAACTGGAGCTTCAGGCTAAGTAAGACAGGGCCAGTGAATGCTCAGAGGAAGAGGGACGCTTCCAGGGCAGGCTTGCTTATTACAAACGGAGATGACTGTTCTTCTCACTCCTCTACTGAGACCAAGACCATACTGTTCTAAATTTGTTCTTTCAATACAGACTTACCTGTACTGAATACAGGCTTTCAGCATAGGCTCACAATGTTACCATTTGTCTTAACACTAATAACTCATATGAAAACATAATGCATTTATTACATGGGTTAGCTAAAGCACTGTCATCATATTTTTCAAGATTCCCCTGCTAGGTAAAATCTAAAAGATTTACCTTCCAAATCATTCAAATAACACCTCTATCCTAAGTGCCCAGACCATTCTTCAGTATTGTGAATACTGTGTGAGCTGGTCACATATGCCCTTACATTCAGTACTGTGAGTACTATGTAAGCTGGTCACCTGTGCCCTGTAGCTGGAGTTTTCTCTAGTCCTGCCCAGCCCACTGCCACTCAGACCCAAATAAACACACAGACGCTTATATTAATTAAAATTGTTTGGCCTAATGGCTCAGGCTTCTTGCTAGCTAGATCTTACATCTTAAATTAACCCATTTCTATAAATCTATACCTTGCCACGTGGCTTGTGGCTTACCGGTATCTTTACATCTTGCTTCCTCTGTGTCTGGCTGGTGACTCCTGACTCAGCTTTCCTGTTCCCAGCATTCTCCTCTCTCTTTGTCCTGCCTATGCTTCCTGCCTGGCTACTGGCCAATCAGCACTTTATTTATTAACCAATCAGAGCAACACATTCACAGCAAACCGAGTGATATCCACAGTGGTGCCCTTACAGAAAAGAGACTGGAATAGATTAAGCATGGAAGCAGGGAGACAGTAAAAGACCAGATAATAATACAGCTCCAGAAAAGGCTAACTGAGGAGAATCTAATAAGTTAATACATGAGAAGAGGAGGTCAGGCTCTGAAAATATGGAGTCAAGGGATATCCAGGACCATTCTTCAGTACTGTGAGTACTAGGTACCATATGCACCTAAATATCAATCCATTCAACAATATGAAATGGGCTGGTAGTTCAGTGGTAGAGTGCTTGCCTTGCATGGGTAAGCACTCCAGGCTTGATGTCCAGCACTTAAGAGAGTAGATAGAGAGACAGAGATACTGATTCTGTGGCTGACCCTGACATGTTTGAAATCCTAACACTCAGAAGGCAGAGAAAAACTTCAGACCTGCCTAGGCTACATAGTAAAACTTTATCTACAATATTCTCACACACACACACACACACACACACACACACACACACACACACACACACTAAAAAACCCTTCCAATTCTCCAGAATAATAAGTACCTACTATGTGCCAATACTCTACTTACACTAGGTACTCTGAGCAGTGGACAGGATAACCAAGGTCCCTTCTTCTCATGAATGGCTAACGAAGGAAACAGACCAATGCACAATGAACTAGAATTCTGACACTTGCTACAAAGAATCATGGGAAGCTTTGAACTAAAACAACAGGAACGTAATCTTATCTGGAGAAGTGGCTCAAGTGGCGAGGACAGTTTCTCTGAGAAAATGAGTAAAGTCAAGGCATGAAGCCTGAGTAGAGTTAAGTTGTTAACTTGACAAAAGGGCTAGGACTGATGAAGAAGCAAGCCCAAGGTACCTGCCACATAGCCAAAAAAAAAAAAAAAAAAGCAATAGCATTCTGTCATTGAAGGTCAAAGAAAGCTTAATAAGATGCACAGATCTATTGGGAGGAGGGACAGGATGTGTCCAAGAAGACAGACAAGGCAAGATGTCCTTTAGGGAACACTGTGTAAACACCAGCTGTTAGGTATCTCCTATAGTCACCATACATTCTTGTAAGCAAAATAGATTGTGAGTCCCTTCCAAGTCTTCTGCTCTCCCTGTACTATCACATGGTGAAGGGCAATAAAACCCCAGCAGCTGTGGAAACACCTGGTTCTTTCCCTCATAGCCAGTCCCTAGGTCCTGGAGATCCTATGATTCAGTATCTTCAGAGCCTGACTGCCTCCACTCATGTACTGATTCTTAGATTCTCCTCAGTCAGTCTTTCCTGGAACTTCAACCCAGTCTTCAGCTGTCTCCTGCTCTCACTCTGACCTCTTCTAGTCTTTTCTGAAAGGACACCCATGATCATCAACTCAATGCTCAGACATTTGCAGCACCCTCCAACTGTTCTCAGAATTAAGTTCCACAGCATGGCAGGCAAAGTCCTGCACAGGCTGGCTTCCAACTCTGTCAGTAAATATAAATGTAAGCAGAGACAAATCACATTAGACAAAAAAAGACAGAAAACAAAAAATATTAAGAGTTTTCTCTCATGGAGGTAGGATTTGGGATGATTTCTTGGAATTCTTAAAGCTTTTTATACCACTTAGGTAGATCCACTTTTAACAGCAAGAGAAGAAGTATTGTATGTGTTTGTTTGTTTGTTTGTTTGAGACAGAGTCTCACTATGTATTCCTGGCTGACCTGGAACTTGCTATATAAACCAGGCTAGCCTTGAACTCATAGAGATCTGCCTGCCTCTACCTCTTGAGTGCTGGGAGAAAAGGCATGCAATTATTTAAATGATAAGCAATATTCTCCTCTACCCCACCCCTCCTTGCAAATGCACATTTCACTTCAGCTATACACTTTGTAAACGAGTTTTTAAAAAAAGTGAAAAAGTGCACTTTTAAAATGAAAAATTACTGAAGTTTTATGCTACATATAGTTCACCACAGTAAGAAAAAACAAACAACAATAATTACTGATGCAGAATATTTAGCTATCTACAGTTAAAATTAACCAAGTAACTACTATAGTGCTATTATCCTTTGGGCTAAATGATGAAGCAATATCATTCATGTGCTCTGTCTACCTCAAATGCCCCTTCCTTTAGTGAGCACAGAAATTCAACAGCGTGGTGTGAGGGGTAGAGGCTTTCAAGCTAGATGCTTCTAGCTTAGGTGCCATCGTGTATTTAACAGGGAGACCCTGGGGGACAGTATTTTAGCTTTCTCAGTTGCCAACGTGAGATTCTTCTGAGGATCTCCTAGGATATTATTTGTAAACTACTTAACCCAGAATTCAGGACATAACTTGGCCTCAACAAACAGCAGATATTTATTACTAACTTACTTCTTTAATTTCAACAGCAGAAGTCATTACACTATTTCCTATGGTTGTATGGTAACTGATATTAATATTGACCTGCTAGAACTATAAATTAATAAGTATGCCAGGTAAACTTTATAGATCTAATATAGTCTACAATGAGCATTGTTGCCTAAGAATTCAGAAGTTGCTGGTCTATGAGAAGTAACAATGATGTAATGATATGGCCCTTCTTCCCCTTACAGCCTAATTGTCCAATCAAGGTTTACTGTAAAGCCTGTAAAGTTGCCGACATGTTTAAAACAAAACTAAGAAATCTACATAGTGGCAGACTCCAGAAGAATGTTGCGTGCCTGATCCAACCAACCAACGCTTGCCATGACTACCAACAGCCCTATAGCTCACAGGAACAAGAAGCCTGAGAGACCCAAGACTTCAACAGAAGAGCATTTTCTGGAGAGTCTTCCACTGATTCACATTGTCAGCAAGTATTTACTGAGCATCTACTGTGTCAGGAACCAGCACTGTACACAGCAAAACAAAAGAGAAAAGTAAAGCAAGATACCTACCTTCACAATGAAAAGCCAGAATTAATCAGAATAGCAATGGTCTGTGATTATGTGATTATGTGAAGTAAGGAAGAAAGATGAGGCAGTAGAAACATGAGAAATCCAGACACACCTTGAGTCTAAAATAACTAACACATCCCACTGGCCTCTTTCTTCACATCATGTACTAGAGCCAAATATCCAAGTGAGACATTCACTCCACAAGGTAGTGTTCCTGCCTACTCTCAAGGGAAAGGGAACATAGAAATGGTGGGACCACCTAGCCCCAGAATGTGAAACACTGGCCAACACAAACACCAGTGTGTCTAAGATGCTTCTAATCAAGTTACCTGTGACCTATACCAAACCTTCCCTGTTAAAATGTTCTCTTTTATCTTCTCCAGAGAAACAAATACCAGCAAATGTAGCCCACACACAGGAAGTCCCTTCCCTCTGATTCCAATGTAAGCAAAATAAAAAAGCAGCAATAACTCTCTTTATGATAATAAAACTCCTTACAATCTTAAAGTATCTGTTCTGGCTAGGGTTTTTTTTTATTTTTTATTTTTTGTCAATTTGACATATGCTAGAGTCATGTGAGATGAGGGAATCTCCATTGAGAAAATGCCTCCATAAGATCAGTCTATAGGGAAAGCATGAGGAGCATTTTCTTATTGATGACTGATGTGAGAAGGTTCAGCCCACTGAGGAGTACTGAGCTATGTAAGAAAGCAAATTGAGCATGCCATGAGGAACAAGCCAGGAACCAGCACTTCTTCATGGCCTTAGCATCAGTTCCTGCCTTTAGGTTCCTGCCTGGAGTTCCTGCCCCAGCTTTCCTGGATGATAGGACTATAAGTTATAAGATGAAATAAACCCTTTCTTCCCAGTTGACTTTGGTCACAGTGTTTTATCCTAACAATAGAAACCCTAACTAAGACAGTAGCACAGAACCAAGTGTGGAGAACACATTAAATGGCTAGTGGGATGCTACAGCGTGAAAAGGACCCTCAAACTTGTGGTAGAGATGAGTTACTAATACTCAAATAATGGTGGACAAGGGGAAGTAGAGGAAGAAGGGATGACAGTACTGTAGTGGAAGGACCTGTGGATCCAGGGCATATCCTCCTGGATGCAAAGGAGAGCCCTGTAGCTCTGTTACCTTCTGTCATTCCCAGGAGAATAGGAGTCTCAGTGGCTGTACCTACAACCTATCATGTGGGCTCCATGGGCTTAAAGGTTTAACTTTCAAAGACTGTCTGGGCATATCATCAAAATTCAAGGCTCAAACTTGGGCTTGGCTTACGCCTTCTTAATGTATTTGGTTTCTGGTGCTAGAGAGTTAACATCAGGCATGTTAAACTCATGTTCTACCACTGAGCCTCAGCCCCTAACTCGGCCTAAAGCAAGTGATGAAGCTCTACCCTGGGCCTGACATCCCAGGCACAGCCCACACACCTCTGATTCCAAGTAGCTTATCCACCATTGAATTTCCGGCACCACACAGGACCAGCTCAGAGACAAGAGACACTCTAAATGCATTAAATAGAGAGGCATGTGAGGGCAGAAAACAACCAGATGATGGAACTATGACAATAAGGACATGCCCGGGAGTAGCCAAGAAGGTCCTGGCAGCCAAGGTCCTCTAGAGCTATGAATCATTCAGCCACTTCCTAGCCAGGCAAGAAGCCATAAGCAAGGTCAGGTTGCAGGGGTTGAGAGAGACACAGGGTGATATGGCCATAGGGCTGAGGGACAAAAGAGTACAAGAAAGGAACACTTAGTCACAGGGGTTGTGTTTGCTAAGACTGCCATCAAGTACTAACAAAAAGAAAAAAGGTAACAAAAATGTATAACTACTTCCACAGAATGTAGAGGAGTTCTAGAATATCTAACTAATGGCTTGATTACTTATTATAAAGACTAACCACAAAATAAAGCTATTAAAAATCAAATACAATTTTTTAAAACCCTTAAAATCTTGTTTTCGAATTTAAAAATTTGTTTTCCTTCACTTTGCTGTGTAGGGAGGCGAGGAAACTCTTAGTGAATTTGTGAGGAGAACAGAGTCTGGACTGATAAGGACTCATGGGGATGAGCAAAGGTTACCCTGGGTCAGGCTCAGGAACCGGCAAAGCCTTCCTCTGCTCTATGTGTACATGCTGACAGTGTACAGGAAGCCTTCCTCTGCTCTATGTGTACATGCTGACAGTGTACAGGAAGCCTTCC